AGGGTTTCGACTCACACACTCGCTCACGCAGGCATGGCAGGTTCCGTCTCGGGTTTAGGGTTTAGGGTTTACCCTAAACCCTAAACCCTACAGTACACCCTATGACTTTCCCGAAGCCCCGAACGCGTAAGTACACTTTGCGTTCTTGATCGAGGCCCCTCCAGAACTCGGAACCCGACACCCGGCCAAAAAAGCCCCAAAGCCTACATTGACATCATGAACCCTAGCCCTGAAAACCCTAGGACTCCATGATATCTACCTCCATACGCCCTCAAATCCCAATCCTAAAGCTTATATATCACTTCCTGGCAACCTTAACGCCCAAAGTTTCTCGCAGCCTGGGGCCCAGCACACAGCAAGAAAATGAGTCTCCTCCAGTCATGCAAAACGGTGGCGAACCAGGGAATCGCGGAGAACCCGTGGTGGGCTCGAGGCTTTCTAGGTGGGGTTCACGACCAAGGATTTGGGGCTATGGGCTTCAGTGCCCAGTCTTCTGCAAGATGCCCTGGCAACAGGAGTAGCCTTCTTCCAATCATCTCGCTTCAATGAGGAGACCCCACAAAGAAAGAGGCAAGTATACAGGAACACAAAGAACCATCCAAACAGCAGGCACTACTTCCTGCAACAGGGTACAATCGGGGCCTGAATAATTGGAATAAGGCCTTCTAGGGAACAGTTGCCGCGACCACTATGTTAACCAGATTGGAACCAAGCCAAATTCGGGACAGTCCGACACTTGTCCTAAGGCCACAGAAATCAGGCCCACCGTTCCATGACATTCTCAGTTTGGGGTTGTGGGTTTAGGGTTTACGGTTCCGCTTTACGAAAACGACCGCGGACCTACATTGGAAGAAAGTGTTGTGAAAGCACCCATGCTCCTGAAGACTTGTAGCCGTAGCCCCGATCAAGTCACCCATACTTGCTTCTACTCGCACATGAATTTCCGAGTGGGGCCTTGAAGTATCAACGGCATTAGATTGGATCACATTGTCAACTGGCTGGTATGGCCTGGAAAGGTTGGGAGCTGATGATGCCTTCTTGAGGCCTGCACAGCGATAAAGCACCGGCTTCAGCAAGGGGTGTTTCCAGCCCAATCTCCCAACCCTGACTTACACCAGACCTACACCCTTGACTCGAAACCCTAAACCCTAATTGCTGAAAGAGTCTAGCCTCCATCCCGTCCATCCCTGGTCCCCCCAAACAGTGGATCACGAGCTGCACCAGCCAAAGTACCCCCCTTTGGCGGCACGCTGCATTGACAGCCTCGCCTTACTCCGAAGAACCTTTGCCGCCGTGGTCACAGTCATAAGCATGAAAGAATTCATAAACATCACCTTCTCAGCCGACCCTATGGGACGAGGCTGTCTGCGGAGCTGTGTCCATCCACCCGAAGCCCTAGAATTGTTGATAGCATGTTTGAGAACCCTACGCCCTATACTGAGATCCCCGAAGCACCCGACTGAGGATTCCCGTCGGCCGTTGCTCTTCATGTAAGCTAAACATCTAACTACTGTAACTTGGGGATCCAACTTCAATGAAACACATCTCGAAAGCATTCCATAGCAATTTCCATCAGTCCAGGTGCATGTGAGGGTGGAGAACACAGCCCGGATGAGAGGATGGAGAGAATGAATTGCCAGGCAGTGTTCTGGGATCTGGAATCATTACTTGCGCCAGAGGCAAGTCAACAAACTTCAAGCCCTAAACCCAAAACCCTAAAGCCTAAACCCTTCAAGCCCTAAACCCCAAACCTTAAACCAAAAGCCCTTCAATCCGGATCCCAGTCAAGGACGCGCACACTACTACCCTAACAGCCAGCAAGTCCTGACAGCACTGGTGTTTCCAAGATAGAGGCGTTAATAATACCAACAGGGCTTTGAAGGGTTCTGGCTCAAGTTTTCGAGAAACTGGGAGTATAAGAGCTCTTAGAGGCCTTACTGATTAGAATGGGGCTTTGATGGGCTTTGGGATGAGTTGTTGCTTTGGGTTCGCAACCCTGAACCTGTAGTCGTAGTCCAATAAACCCGAAGCCCTCGGCCGGCAATCTTAAACCCTAAAGCCCAGACTACGATGCTACTGCAACCCTTAGGGACCTCATAGACGCGGTGATGACCGGCAGCGGTGCCCCCAGGGCATGGAAATTAACTCCCTAGAAGCATAAGCAGAAGGGTTTGGGCCAGGGTTTAGCGTTTACGGGCTAAAGGTTTAAGGTTTCAGTAGATATTACGAGGCACCCTCGGGAATAATACTGGGACTTACTCAGGCTTCTAGGTTACACTAGAAGCAGATTGCTGTTTCCCGGTGCTGGGGACTTCTTGAACCATCTCCCTCGCACGGCTTCTCTATGCCTCGGTCGTTGCTTAAGCATCCTCCGCTGTGCAAACTTCCTCTTTGCCACCAAACACCTTGGCTGCAGTCTTCGGGCTCTAGTTTTTGCGGTGGAAGTCGACGCGTCCGACCATCTCTATTTGCAACTCCGGACAACAGCCTGATAGTATATTCCACGAGCGCATGTTTGGGACTACTGAAAGTACTACCTGCACTCCGATTTCTTGAGCACTTCTAGCTAGACATCGGAACACTCTATACCACAAGGTCAACATCCTAAACACCGAACCCTGACCCCAAAACCCAAACCACAAAGGAACTATCAGGCGTCCTTTATTTCACAGATTGGAGCTCGCCCGGCCAAATCCCCTCGCAGCACATCGCACTCGTGGCGAGATCTGCAAGGCTAAGTGCGCACAATCCTCAAGATTTTACGAGCCCAGGCGTCTTACTTTGGGCCCTTTTTTACACCTGGACTATGCATCTTTGGGCCCTAAACCCTAGGCCCTAAACTCTCGAAAAAAAATTGCCAAGAGACCATGGGCCGAAACCACTGGTTCTTGACTCGCCCGCTGCCTCCTTTAAGGGCCTTCATGTTCTTCTCCAGGCCCTGGTCCAGCGGCGAAGCAGTCAGCTCCGGTACCGCAAGAACATTAGGGCTTACGGTTTAGGGTTTAGGGCTTAAGGTTTAGGGTTGAGGGTTTAGGGTTGAGGGTTTAGGGTTTAGGGTTGAGGGTTTAAGGTTTAGGGTTTAGGGGTTATAAGCAAACCGTAACACTCAATGACACAGACGTCACAGTAGTGCGAATGCCGAAACACCTGTGAGTACTGGGCAGGCAAGAGTGCCACGGCTAGCATGCTTACACCCAAAACCCTCTGTATCAAGCCGCAAAGCTTCGACTACGAAGAATGAAGTCCTGAAGCCCCAACACAAATCGGCGAATTCTCGCAGAAATCTGTCCGACACCAGGCCACGGCTGGAGTAAATACACTCGGTTTAGGGCTTATAAGGTTTAGGGTCTTGAATCCTGGGACAAGGGGTTAGGGGGTACATTCTAGAAGAGTTGTCCAAAGGACTCTAAGGGAATTCTGTGACAAAATGGTTTAGACCCCTAGAAGACAGGTAGTGAATCAGGGGCCTCTGCTTGCAGCTAGTATTCTGTATGTAAAGCAAGGGTAGTAAGCTAGGTTTAGGGTTTAGGGCTCAGGACCCCGATACCCAACTTCAAAACCAGAGAGAAAAGGAAAGACACAACAAGCAACTCGACACCCAACACTTGTTTAAACCCTCAACCCTGCATGCGCCCGAAACCCTAAAGGCCATGCAGGCCTTCAAGTCCCGCAGCCCTGAACCCAAAAAGCCAAAGCTTAAACTGCCTAAACCCTGAATGCAACCCAAGCCCTTACCCTGCGAAAATCCACCAGACTCTCCTGGGTCACCGCGGGTACGATCTCGAGAATTTTCCTGTGTCATAGCCTAAGGATCCAAGGACCGACATATTGTGGTTTCAGGAGGTTCATAGTAGAAGCCCAAAAGTTGGAAACCCAACAGCCTCAATCCTTCAGAGTAATGTAAAGGGAATCCCAGCACTATTTGTCCTTAATCCGGTTTCCAACTTTTCAGGCTTTACTCTTGGGGCTGTAAGGGCTCGAGGCCCTAACCCTAACCCTAAACCCTAAACCCTATAACCCTAAACCCACCATGCCACGGTAGCCGGTTACAGGAGTCCTCGAGGCCCTACGTGCGAGAGTAGGTCTGCGGGTTTCAGGGGGATGAGGGCGATCCTGCCCTAAAGCTTACCTGGACCCCAAAAGTATGTATCGGCTTTGGGCCATTACTTTACCTATTTTTGGGAGGTTTAGATCCACGATTTTGCCTATTTTTGAAGGTTTGGGGCCATTAGTTTACCTATTTTTTGGGTTTAGGGCCATTATTTTACCCATTTTGGGGGTTTAGGGCCATTATTTTACCTATGTGTTGGGGGGGGTTTAGGGCCATTCTTTTACCTATTTTTTGGGGGGCTTAGGGCCATTATTTTGCCTATTTTAGGGGGGGTTTAGGGGTATGATTTTTGCCTAATTTAGGGGGGGCTTAGGTAAGGACGAGCGACTCCTGGGGAACCCCAACATTCTCTGCACCCAAACCCAGCGACAGCCCCAAAGTCTTAAGACTTTTAGGGGGTTTACGGTTTAGGGTTTTAGGGTTTAGGGCGCAGGGTGAAGCCTGCTTTTTTGCTAACAACGAGATGTGAAGACTGTCAATCAAAGCAAAACCTCATGTCGAAAAGGAACTCAGCCCTAGGATGTCCACAGTGGTGCCACTATGGGATCCTTACGCACTGGGCCCACGAGACTGCGGCCACATCCACAGGCGAAAAGCCATTGTAGATTTCGATACGTTGGCCTCATATTCATATTAATCAACCAACTAGGAAACACACCATGTAGGCCCAAACCATGCAGCCGGAGCAGCTGCGCCAAAATCAACCCCGGAACCCCGAACCCGAAACCCTAAAAAACCCAAGCCTCTACATGCCCCTTGTTATAGAAACCTTCATCAACTTAATGGGCTTCCTTGTTCCTTAAGGACCTTCTAAACGAAAGATCACCAGCCCCACGAAGTCCGATGCCACCCCGGAAGCCCTAAACCCGAAACCCCCACGGCGAGCGGCGCTTCAGCTTCTGACCGTGGAAAACCTTCGCGAACTCCCGGGCCGAGGCGGCCGAGAGGAAGTTCAGGAAACAGTAGCCGCGATTTCCTGAGGGTTGGGGGGCAAAAAAGAGTTCATGTAACCAATCAGTATATCTTTCCTTGTCCCTCTCTCTCTATATATATATAGATAGATGTATATGTATATGTATATGTATATGTAGATGTAGATGTATATGTATATGTGTGTACACATACAAATACATTCTGGCGTCATTATCGAGGACTTTGAGAGTCTGAGTTGTTTCGGCTTTTATGGAGCCTCAGCACTCTCCCTGTCTGAGGATTTAGGGTTTAGGGCTCAGGTTTTAGGGTTTAGGGCTCAGGTTTTGGGGTTTAGGGGCTTTGGGCTTGCTTGGGCATGGGGTTCCCAATTTGTGACATGGGGGCCGAGATATGTTGTAGTAGATCTACAAGTGGAACCCTAAGGAATAGCGTTAGGGAGTAATGTTGCACCTAGAAAACGGCATTAACACGAAGTCTCCTGTGCGAGTTGGTTCTGTATGGTAGCATTGTAGGAACCCTCCACAGCTACAAGGTTTACCAGCCCAGCTACCACTTGGGATTCTAGGACCCTAGGATTCCAGGCTTTTTCTAAGCAGTGTTCACTACATTCGGACTTACCGGTTCAGAGCTTTAGGGCTTGTCCCCAACATGTGAAGCCTCTGCATGGAGGTTTTTGCGAATAACAATCTATTCTGTCCCATTCAGACAGGCCCTGGTTAGACGGATCCTTGCGACAAGCTGTAAGGACCCGTAGCAAGAGTCCCCTGACTTATAGGAGTCCTTCAGTGGATGATAGGGCGTGAGAGGCGCAAGGCAGCTCCAATCTAGACAGGGAGGCGCTTGGTGTTGAAGTCGATGGGCAGGTAGAAGAAGTTGAATCTGCCCTCGAAGCCTCAGCGAGGGGAATAGCCGAATCTTTCCACCTATGGCCATGCAAGCTCATACAGCGTCGAGATGTGCAAGAGCAAAACGTCGATTCTTGCCTTGCCGTGTTGTTGCGCCGCCTAATTACATGAAACGACAGTTGCGGTTTGCAGTTGTCGATGCTGCTGTGTAGAATAGCTGGTGCCACAACCTGCCGAGGCGTAGTTCTGGACCTCCAGACTCTAGAATTCAAACCTCCTCAGAGTGGCTGCTTAGTTTCAAACCGTGGTGCAAAGTAGCCTTGTGCACAGGCTTCGGCCTATACCTGGCTTGTTTGGGCGGCTTTGACAGGCGAGGCGCCTTCCGATATCACCTCGCAGAGGAACTCTTCACAGCTGTAGCGGTTGGGAACATTCCGGACCATGACCGTGGTCTTGTCATCAGTGAAGAGGGCCATCTCAGCTGCGTAAGAGCTCAGACGCTTTAAAGAGTGGTACAACATTATCATGCACAGTCATGGCTCGAAGCAGCCACTGCAACTTCAACCCAAAGCACAAAAACTTGAAGCCCCAACAAAAGAAACACAAACACACACACACACACAGAGACATTTTTTCCTGCATCCAGGTCACAGCCTCCTCGAGGGTGAGTGGCGTGTCGGCCTTGCTGGGATGCCGCGGCTTCTCGCGAACGGGCCGCCCTTTGCCTCCGACACGGGGACCCCAGACCCTAGCGCTCCGGTTACCTAAATTAGTGTTACTGGGGTACATAATATATGGTTAGTAACCCACTATTTAGGTAACTGGAGCCCTAGGGAGAGATGTATAAAAAGAAAAGCGCAAGGTATCGACATATTTCAAGGAACCGTAGTTGTAATGCGACGGAAATGTTCAACATCGCCGTCACCACACTCTTAGTCGTGTTAAAGACTAAGAGTGTGGTGACGGCGAGTCTGTGTGCCGCTGTTGGAGTGATCAGAGCACACCCAAGTAACATCATCTCAGCATCAACAACATCCCCGTCGATAATGCCGATTATGTTCTCGACGATAATGCCGATTATGTTGCCGGGTCGGTCAGCCTTGCAGCTCTCAGCATGGCCGTTGTCATCGTCATCTGAAACTTCAGTTCACTCCGCAACCGTTGAGCTACTGCTGTTCTCATACTGCCCTGATCTTGTACACTATAGGTTTCCCAATAATTACCCTGAACCTTAAACTGATCTTGTCGACTATTGTTTTCCCAATGCCTCGCGCCCTTGCTTGGCTCAGCCGTAGTTTGAACCTATGAGACGTATGGCAGTAGTTGCCCAGTGGTTAAAAGCTAACAAGTTCAAGAGCTCAGCGTCAAGCTCTGAGCTGCCATTTCCGAGTGGCTACAATACGCTTCGCTTCAGTATTCTCAACCCGAAACCCATAAAAAAATTTATTGATAATGTGTGTACCCCCTATATAACCAGAAAGAGTTGGCAAGTCTTGGCGATGCAAGCCTCGCAACCGTTGCACACGAGCTGACAGTCCTATCAGAGCAGGAAGACGAAAAACACCACAGCAGAGTCGCATGGCCAATAACGGTCTACGCCAAGCCCGGAACGCCCAACCCAAAACCCGCCTTGTGGCAAGTAGTTGCCACGCGGATTTGGGAAAGGAGCGGGCGCCGAGAATTCCTTAGCTAAGTTGTTGTGCGTAGGAGGGCTTCCACCATCAAGCGGATGTCGAAACGAGCCTCCAGTAATGGAGAACACAGCCACACGGGAGAACTTCTGGTCTTGATTGTTGACAGCTTAGTTAAAGTTCTAACTGCGCTGAGTCCAAGGCCTAAGGCTGCAGGAAGGGGGCTCCAAAGACATGCCAGCCGGGGCATGTGGCATACATGACGTCGTGCGGACATGGCACTTTTGGGTCAGCATCCCCAACCCCACAACCCAAAACTAATATTAAAGCCCTGAATCACTGAACCAGCTTAAACCCCAAGTTGGCATTGCATCGGCTCCCTCCCGACTGCCTTCGACAAAAAACGTCCTCTGCCGACACTGGCTACTGCCGTCTCTTCCACTTCCGCCCTCGCCCGTGTGTAGTGTTGACCCTGATTAAACACAAGACCTCCTAGAAGTTGCTTTTCACAAGTCAAACGTCTAACTTGCACTGTGAACCGTTTCAACCGAAGGGAGGGACGAGCACAACAACAACACAACGATGCACAAGACACAGGATAGGAATTCAAGCAAAAGCTCTGCCAGTCATAGAAAACCCTTCGACACCCTACGCCCTTCGGACCCTTAATGATCTACAAACCGGCCCGGAAACCTTAAACCCAAAATCCCAGTCCTTAAACCCTGTAAACCCGAAACTCCAAGCAGCAAAGCCTCCAGCACCTCCTCCACACTTTGCTTGGGCTCGAGCGAGGAGACTTCCTCCGCCTCTGCAACATGTTGCTTACTGCTGGGTGTTTAGGGCTTTAGGGTTCTTAGGGTTTTAGGGTTTTAAGGCTCGGGGTATTTGGGTTTGGACTTTAGGCAGCCGAATCATGTCCACTTGACATAGGGGCTTTCTCCAGTAGAAAAGGCTTCTTGATATAGGGGCCTTCTCCATCAGAAAAGGCTTCTTGATATAGGGGCCTTCTCCATCAGAAAAGGCTTCGGGGGTATACTGAACTATAGTGATGCACAGGCTATCAACCCCACAGGCTGTAAAGACTTCAAAGGTTCCATGAGCTCATGGCAAGAAGGATGAATCCTTCAAGCGCTGGAAACCAGCATGACACCCGGGGGCGAGGTTCTGGGGTTGGGATGTGCGTTTTTGGAGGCTTAGAGTGCCGGCCTAGGCCATAGATGTTGGACAAGTGTTGTTACTGGGGTTTCTCCGGCGCTGAATAGGCTTCAAGAAAGAAATGCTACAGTACAGCTTTACAACATATGGAGATTCAGTCGCTTGACATGTTGGGTTGAACTAGAACTCAGCATCAGAAGCCTTCGGGAAGCTGTAAAATCTAGTTACTAATTGCACCGCACCCTCAAGTAAGCCCAATGCCAAAGTGTGTTAACACGGCAGCAAAGCAGTTCTGCACACGAGAAACTGCTGCCCAACTAAAACCACTGGAAACTAAGGCACCAGAGTAAACGCAGCTGTTCTAAATTGAATGGTCTAACGCAATCAGCTATTGTAATTCGTGTCTGTGGCCAGAGACTTATTGCAAATACTTGAATGAAGTAAAAAACTCTGTAATAAACAGGATGGTGGCCAACTCATCCCCCAAAATATGCGCGCATTCAAACACATAAATACATACATATCTATATATATATATGTAAGAGAAACCT